ATTTCACAGACCAACTGAAAGAAAGTGAATAACAGTATTGATTCCTCTCACTGACATCTATACCTAAGTGCCTTGCTGAAACAAAAATGCTATGAAGAAAGTTAGGACTGAAAATTTAGAGGTTTAAAAAGGTACTTTTTCTCCCCAGCTTTATAGGTAACTATATCCTTAGTAACTGCAGAATGTGAAGTGTCTGTGTGGTGCATGGCTAGCAGGAGGAGAGCTAAAAGGCAGCAGACACAGGCTGTGTTGCTTCAGCTATTGTTATGGGGAGCGTATTTGGCTTGTCGGAGCTGTTTGTATGTATATTGAATGCGGTTATTTGTGTTTCAGTGTTACTTAAAAGTTAAACAGCCCTTTTAGAAGAAGACTTTAGTAAAATCAACACGTGCATTCCACCCTTTTCTCCATAGGGAAGCAATTAGAAAAGCAAAGGAAGCATTCCCAAACAGCAGTGTTTAACAGTTTTTTTGCCTAATAATGATGGTGACAACTTAATGTCTCTTTAGTCTTTACATTTCACTCCCTTGTGGTTTAAACATTAGCTACTTTGAATCTTCTATTTTGTAACACCTCATGAGAGTGTACTGTTACTTTTTCCTGTTCTGTAGTTGGGAAAAGATGCAGAAGATAATTTGTTTGCTTATTTATATCTTATGTATTCCCAGGAGCTGTATAAGAAACACAAACTTCCAGAAGTGCAAATCTACATTTTAAAGCTTTTCTTAACTGGATTTTTCCTACCCAATTTTCTGAGTGTTGGTAGGCAATTCAGTGTGATTATTCTATACTTCCAAGGTAGCAGTTTTACAGTCAAAAGTTATGGATTTCGTTTGTTTAAACAAATTGTATTCTGTGTGGATATAGAAATGATGGGCTGAAATTCTGTGGCTCATGTTACGGAGGAACGCTGAAGAGCAGATCTTAGCAGCTCACTGTTCTCTTAAGAAGTGTTTTTGATGATCTGTCACTCAGACTTCAGACTATCATGTCAGGCTCCTACAGGATGAGAAATATACAAGTAGTAGTCTTGAAATTTAAAACAAACAAACAAAAAAAACAACTGTATTTTATTATCACATAAGTCATCTGAGGCAGAATATGAATCCTCTCAAGACTCCAGAGTAGATCTGGTGATCTTTCTCCAGTTTCCTTTCATACGTGCTACATAGCTTTTAGCTCTGCTGCATGTGACACTGGGTCTTTATAGACAACTCCCTTCCACCTGACAGAAATTGCCCAGGTGGACTCTTCTAACACTCAGTGAGATGGATAATACTGCAAAAATAGTATATCATCATGTAGTCTGAGCAGCAACGAACATTCGTAGTTATGATGTGTTCCAACTTCTGATAACACAGCCTTAATAGCTTGTTTATACATCCTATGTGAAATTTGCTAGACATTAGAAGAGCAAACAGTAAAACTACTTCTACTGCCAGGTATATAGAATATCTGCAGCAATGAAGTTTTGAGTCAGCTACATCCTTCTGTCCTTTCACTGAGGTAAAAGAATAAAGGGCACTGCTAACTGGCCAATATCTGTAGTAATAAATGGGCATAGAAACACTGATGTTGAGTTTTTTAGTACTGTTGTCAAAGGGCTCTGTGGATTTTGAGGCACTCCTCCAGTGTCAGAAGTGAATGGACAGTGAGCTCAGTTTGCTGGTGAGTCTTTACCTCTTGGTACTCAAATACCACACTGTGCCCTAGAAACTGTCTCTGCTTCTAATTTTCTGTCTTTTTTCCCCTGGTCCTCAGTACTCTCAGTCCAAGATTCCAAACTTAAGGTTTCTTATCTTGTTTTACTTGAAAATGCAGCAATTATGCACTCCTAAAACATACTCACAAAGCATTTTGAGAGGAGGAGACCTGGTTTATTTTCTGGGCAGAGTACCAGGAGGAATATTTCCACAAATTTAGCACACCTCTTCCAGCTCATGCAATTTTTTTTATGTGCAGAGCTACATTATTTCACCTTGCTAATACAAAAGAAATGCCTATTACATACATCTTCATGTGCAAGCATGATACTCTATCCCCCTTTTGGCTACTTTCCTCTGCCATCTGCACTTACATAGGGTTGTATGGGAGTTTTTTAGAACTCTTTCTGGTCATTTAGGTAGTGGTCCCCTTATTCATTTTGCCTTTATGTGGTCATGAGGATGTTGTTCACATTTTGCACGAATGATTTCTTGGTCTCAAGACCAAGAAAGAGAACGTATATTCAGGGCTAGAAAAATTTCTGCCATCATGCAATATTTCTCTTCAGGGAACGCTAGCAATTATGCAAGCATCAGCTAATGAAATAATCTTACAATTATTAACCTAAGAATGCATATGTTCTTTCTCATTCTTGATATCAATCTCAGTCCTAGCCTATTTATCCGAAGTGACCTTAAAGTCACCTTAAAGTCACCTTAAAGTGACCAGAGCAATCTGACTTATTGCTCTGATCCAGTGATCTGCTTGGTTTTTCTTTCTTAGTAAGTTCTTGCTGCCTCTAAGATATTCTTTAGAAAATCACTGTAAGTTGAAAGAGCCACTGAAATTTTAGTTGAGATTTTCTCTTCAATTCTTACTGAATATCTTCATATGCTGTGGAATTACTATGCAACAATAACTGAACTTATCATCAAACTACCGTGGAGGTTACAGTGTCTGTAATATAATCACTTCACCATTGTCCTTTATCTCTGGTTCCCCAAAGGATTGTCATTATACAATGCCCCCGTTTTTTTTCATTGCTTAACCAAGTTCAGTGCATTGTTCTGCAATACTGACTTTTAAACACGTGCTTTTGACTTCTGTATCTTGTTTCTTGAAGAGTCTGTCAACAGACTAGGTTTCAACAAAGTGTACTTCAGCAAGCACCTTTGGTTGTCAGAGTTAGTAAGATGTTCTAACCTGATAATTTCATTTCATCCCCTTTGTAAGAACAAATTTGTTTTTCAGACCTTTTTTCCCCTGGAGATCACAATGATGTAAATGAGAACAATACTTTGTGCATTTATGCATGTGCATGTCTCAGAGCCTACAGGCAGAATTTCCCATAAACATTTCATAGTTTCAAACAAAAACAGGTTTCACATTAAAAGCTGCTTTTTATGTTTGCAAGGAAGCACTGTCTGAGCACTGGATGTGCTCAGGTAAGAGCACTTCATTAGGTAATTCTTCTCTCAACTGTGCACTCTTGAAAGGTTCCTGTTTGACCTCAGAGAAGGATGCCAGTGAAGCCAGTGAGCTCTTGCAGTTCCACGAGTTATCCTTTTGGACAGTATTAGAAATTACAATAACAAACACAGTATTTTTAAAGCTGCTTTTTGAGGTTAACAGCTAAAGGCCATTTGAAATCCCTGCTCCATTTTCCATTATATCACACTTAAAATTGAGTGGTATGGTATCTAGTCCCCATGGAGATATGTGCTAGTCATAACTCCGTATCTTTAGCTGTTATTTAGAGGGAAAAGCACTATTTGGATAGCCAGTATAGATAATAAGCATAAACACCACAGAGTACAGAAATGATGTAACAGCAGTGATGGTCAGAATCATAACTCGAGTTCAGCAAGAACTAATACCTTGCTTTGAGTGTATTCAATTAGGTAGGTTAGGTGGCTCAGTCAGCATGCTTTGACTTGTTAAGAGAAGACTACAGCCAGTTCAATTTGCAAACTGTAGCTCAAATTCTGAATTCCCTTGTAGCCTACACGAAAGCCCTATCTCGTCTCCAGATATTATGAATTTATTTGCAGAATGGCACTTGAAAGTGACATTGCAGTTATTGTTTCTTATCTTCATGTCATCAGTTTTAAGATTTCATTCTGCCTGGAATGAAAGTGTTATTCTATCTAATGGAATCTATATTTTAGAAGTAAATAGCAGTACCTGAAGAGATCCTGGATGTCACTTTCAATGTTGTTTTCGGTCAATTCAGCACAACAGGGACACCAATGTAAGCTTCTCTCACCCAGATGTGTGTGCTAGGTAGCCTATGTTAATGGTTTATAGCAAAAAATGGTAAGTTTTCAAAAGAGGAAAAACAAAAGTAAATTGTATAATTGTAAAGAAGAGAGTTTTTCTACTGCCTAGAAATTGGAAATAGTGCAGCAGTCAGAAACATAGTGGAAGCTTTTATCTCTATACGCTGATGGCATCTTAGACCAATCTAAAATGCCAATGATTTGGCTTTGGTCTCTTTAAAAGATGGCTGAAGACTAATGAAAAACGAACCCCTATGACATTTTAAAACTGGAGGTATATTCAGCCAGCTGCAAAGTACATCCACAGTTTTCATGTTTACAGTGATAATCTTCAACACACACACACGTAAGAACATACAATTGAACTTCATGTTTCTTGTTTTAATATGTAGGAGTTGTTCTTCAACATGCAAGACTGCACGCTTTATTCCTAATCCATACCTGAAAAACTCTTTATCATTCTTCCTGCTATTGTGACCTGCTATTATTTAGAAGCAGTAAGAATACAGTAGCCCAGCCTGTTTTATATGAACAAAGACTATGCTTTTTAAGCTAAACTGTGTGAGTGTGTTTTAAGCTCTCATTTTTTTAAAAAAAAATAACGTTCTTGAAAATTCTTGGTTATGCATTTGCTACAAGAAGCAATACTGGCTATGTGTTTGATATTTCTTTTATTTTTTTAATAATAAAATAGCAAAATTCCCTATAGATAATAGTCCTGGAAGTACTACAAAGCATCTGGCTTCCTTCTGTTGATTGCACCATTGAGCGAAATATCTAGTTCAGTACTCTGCCTGTCTTCCAAGTATAGTCAAAACACCAGTATTTCTTGGAAGGCACTTGTTAAAAGTTTTCTTTGTTACTTTAAGCCAATTCTTGTGTAGATATTACTTCTCCAGATAGAGGTGAAATTGTTCAGATTTGAACCAAGTAAAATTGTCAGGTTGAGGATAGAACAAAACATTACATTGTAACTATATGTCTAGGATGATTTTTTTTCTTTCTTATCTTTTATAGAATAATCTCTGTACTAGAAGACCCATTTTTCTAACATGCAGTATTTATTTTACCGAGTTCAACCAGCAGTTCTCTGTGGCTTAACCAGGCAAGTACCTCGTGTTTATGCACAAAATAATACACTCAGTAAAACTAAGATCTTGATTACTGCCTGAATTTCAACAGCTTTATGCCAGTGTAGTTTATGGAAAACCTGTTGCACCAAATAGAAACTGCATTGTGTGTAATGTAAAGAATGGGCTGGGCAAAATAGCCAAATTTTTTTTTTTTTTTTTTTTTAATTTGTAAGTAGTTACTATAGGAAGTCATCATGAATGATTTGCCATCTAAAGAAGAAAAATGTATTCTGACATATAAAATGTACAGTGAGATTAAGTTGAATGTGAATATGGCTGCTTGATGGCTACAGTTTGCCTAGATTTTTGTTTTTGTAAAGCTTGCATGTTATGGGTGTCTGCCTGTTTATTTTTTATCATTTAGTATTTATTTATTTATTTTAAAGATCAGGAAGATAAACTTATCTGGAAACTGATACACCGTTCCATCTCATCCATCCAGACTCTTTAAACATTATTTTTGTAAAGCTTTGATGGGCCTCTCTCAGGTGTCTGTCACAGACATTTTCTCAGACATCAAGTTTCTAATTCTAAATTTAAAGAGCTATTTAGGGGAAAACAGAAATTTAAGTATATTTTTTCCTTATTACATTTATGAATTTTGTTCTTGCGTCTTTCTGCCTTCACACCTTTTTGCAAAGGTGTGCCATTGAATTCCTCCATGTGGAAAAAAAAATGGACCCACTGACATTCATTGTAACTTGCTGAATGTTTCTGGAGGCCAAATAATGGATGTAAAGTGGTGTGTTTCAACAGTGGCAACAGAAACAGCGGGGCTCCTACACTGGTGCAGATTTTTAGGAGCACAGCATAAAAGCTCTTGTTCACTGTTGATAAAAATGCATAAGTAATGCTGGTAAAAATCTTGAAAAATGCATTTTATAGCTGAGAATTTGCTCTATCAGGTTTTTTTGTGCTTTTTGTATGTATTGCAGTTTCCATGGAAAGAAATCAAAGGCATTACTTTCAGAGCAACCTACGTACTGGTGAGGTAGGGAAGGTTTCTGAGATAAGCCTTTAAATTCTCTGCTTCTAAGATTTATGAGTTCTTCTGTAATGCACCCTGCTGTGTCCTTTGTTACAATCTGTATCTTCAGCAGGTGGTTAATGGTGACCCACCCACATGATCGTTAATTATACTTTTTTACTGCATTAGATGAATTGCATGAAAATTCACATACTAAATTGCAGTTGACTCTGACCTAGTTAACAAGTGCCAGAGATGTCTTGCTTAATCTGTTTTTGAGAAGAAGTTCGCCTGACTTTTTGTAAAAAGCTTCTGTAATTTTGTTGTTTGTTGCTGTTTGGTTTCTAATTCATCTGTGGCAATTGGATCTTCTGAAAGATACTCAATGAATTACCAATTCTCTGGAACTGTGTTGCCTTCTGATTCAATCACACAGAATAATATGACCCATTGCTCTTATTTGTGTCAATTTTATTGCACAGTATTATGTCATGAACATGGTTTGTGGTTGAAAAGGGAATTGTATTGCTATGCTACGGTAGTGGGGAAAAAATTAAGAGATAAATCATGAACATCCCTTGCTATGGTCTAATAGCCATCCTAATAGTCTTGTTCTATAGTTACATGTAAAAGCTAATTTAAGAGGCAATATTTTCTGAAAAAAAAAGTATTTTCTACATCAGGATGTTGTTATAACTTGCATAATCTGCAAATTATATAAGTTGGTTGTCTACCATATATCTAGTCAATTCAGTGCAATTAGTAAGAGCCTTGACTGGGGAACATAAGTAGCCATTGTTTTTAGTGTTCGGGTAGCTTTTTGTACCTCATAAAATACTATTTTTCCATTAAGTGAGTTTTCCACCTTTTTTTGCAGTGGTGGGCATTACTGTTTAAGGGCTTTTCACCAAAATGTTTTTGTATAAAAGAGAGATTAAAAAAAAAAAACAACAACACTTTAAATTAGAACAACTCCCCTAGAAGTATGGTTTAAGAGGAGGAACAGAAATATTATTATTATTTATCCTGAACTTGGAACTTGAATATAAGTATAAATCGTGGTAGTTTTATTCTTACTCTAAGCTGCAAGATGCTACCTAATGCAAGCAATAGCTTGATATCCCGCTTCACTACTGATTTTGTGTTAAGTTTGAAAGTTATATGAAGAAAAGCTACATACTGATCCCACAACTACTGAAACAGTTAATTACCTTGAAATACACAATACACTCATTGTTCTTTATTCTGAGTAGTATATATATGTGTGTGTATATATATACACTAGGCAGCACTTATTGTTAGCTTACGATTTGTTAATTTTGTGCTTTATTTTATATACCATTTTTACTGACTGCTCAAAGTAAACAGTGGAGACATTTTGCTATTTCCCTCCCAAGACTTTTATTTTAATGTATCATTTTTTACTTTATTACCAGTCAGTGTGGTATCATATGCATAGCAAGCTGTAACTCTGATAAGCTATGTCAAAGCCTCACGGTGCTAGATCCTATCTTTATGACATTATTGGAACTAATGCACTCCAGAAATAATCGTGAGGAGTTAAAAAGGCTATCCAGGAAGACACTGTGACATGCAGCTATCTAAAGAAATTATCTTCAGTAATAAAAAGAGTAAAAGCATTTACTAAATTTGATGAAAACTGGAATCTGACAATCTCTTTTTATTTAATAAAATTATGTATATTATGTATATCGATAACAAAGCTTTGACAAGCACCTCAGATGTTTTAAACAGAATCATTATATGCATATCTGATTCTGTTAGTGTTAAGAGGCTAAGCTGATTTATTAGTACAGTATTGCCTTATGCTTGGATTATTCTTTGGACATATTTCTGGAGGGTTTAGTTTCACAGCCTCTTGGACATCGTATTTTGTTGACTAGCCATCATCTTAACTTGGCCAAGAGCTATCAGATGAGCTTGCTGCCCAAGCTCCATAAAGTACATCTGTTCTCAATAGTTGACAACACAGTAATCCTCCTCTAAAACTCCTTCTTGCGGCAGGCTATATCCTCACTTGCCCTGCAAATTCATCCTTTAATTAGTTAGTTCTGCAGATTCATTGCCTGCCTTGTACATTGTTTCAGTAAAACTTCCAGTACTGCAGAATATAAGATGTAATTAGAGAGAAAGAAGGGATATCACAAATGGCAAAAAGACAAGATTATGGAAATCGGACTATTTAGCAGCACTGAGAAAAAGATTCATCTCAGATAGCATAACCCATAGCTATTGTCTTGTTTTCCCCATGAAAGTCAAGGCATTTGAATTTCAACTGTTTCTATTTTCTGTATGTTTGTACTGTCCTAGAGCTCACTTTGTTAATGAGGACATCAGGTGAAACTGCAGAGATGCAGTCACATTTTCTTTTTTTTCTATTATGATATGATTTTGAATAAGGAAAAGAAGATGTGGTCACAGATAACCATACCTTCATTATAGGTATCTTGTCTGTAAACCAAATTTCAGCAAATAAGAATCAGATGAGGGAAAAGGAAAGTAACTGCTAGCAAGAGAGAGGGAGTGGATGTGTTGGGCTTATTTATTCAACCTAACAGAGATTACTTCCTTTTAAGAGTGTGTGAAAAAATCTGAATTAACATTGTAGAATGGCAGCAGAGAATTTTGACTGCCTTCCCATAAAGCCACTACTGTGAGTGCTCTGGAGATTAGATTAATTGTTTTACTAAAGTAACTTCACCAGCCTCACATTTCTAATCATTTTATGTAAGTTTGTCTTTTATCTAAGGTGTTTGCACTGTCTCTTTCTACTTTTATTAATGATTACTCAGAGTGTATGATGGTTGAAAACCAACCTGACACAGTGGCTGCATAAATTTGGAGAATACGTTTTGAAATCTGTAGTACAGTCCATGTACTATTGGGTGTATAAATGAATTTTATGTATCATAACACTCCTAGAAAAACAAGAAGACAAAGAAGATGGGATTGCTAAGGGAGACATTAGATTTCATTTCACACTGATAATAGTTTAGTGATAGTGCTGAGCAAAATGGGATTCAATTCTGTAGCACTCCTTTATTGCAGCTAAGTGATTTCAATATCCAGTCTAAAGTGATACTGATAGTGTTCGATAGAAGGGGGATGAAATCTGAGAGCCCTGAAGGCTCAGAGGAGGCCACAAATCTCAGGCTGACTCAACGGATCTTTTCAGAGCCATCCCACCTGACCTTAAGCCATCTTATTTAACCTGGAGGCTGCTGGTAAGTACCCTGCAATGTAAGATATTGTTTCATGTTAAAAGGAACCATGCAACTAGATTGCATTTTGGACATCAATTGATACTACTGTAGTTATGGTTTTGGCCGTGAACTTGACGCTTTCAGAAACGTTTACAGCTATGAGTTTATTGCTCAGTTGTTGTTGCCTGGTAGGAAAATCATATCTGGGAAATGGTTTAAACCCTGTAGCCTTTCAATCTGTGACTGTTGAAAGTAGATGAGGTTTGCTATACAAACATGGAGGCTGACCTATAGTCCAAAAGGCAGTGGTCACAAATTTTGTATCTGGGTACCACTTCTCAAAAAAGAGATGCAGCTTTCCTGCCAAGATGTATATCCTGCTTCTGATAGGCATACAGCTAAAAAAGGTGAGTGTTGCTATTTGTTTTATATATTTAGCGGTATCTGTTATCAGATTAATTTCTCATTTTCAGGAAAATTAACTAATCTGTTAACATTTTGTGATAGTTGATAGCAGCAGGCACTGTAGGATCCTAAATGAAATGATAGTGTTAGGAGCCTGAGGAGGGGCAGTGGAACTAATGAGAATATTTCCTGTGGCTTCTTTTGGATATGAATTGAAGAAGATTTAAGTGAGGAAGATGAAGAAAAATGCATCAGATAAATGCTTTGTATATGCACTGAGAATTTCATAACTGTGTTTTTGCTTTCAGCATAACAGGATTTTTTCTGCAAGAATTACTCAGGAGTTACACTGTGCTATCCTTGCTTTCCTTTTAGAAGCATTTAGTTTTCTAGACTTCACCTCACTTTCTCTACCTCTCTAACACAATGCTGGGGGAAAAAAATAAGAGGCTGAGAGAATTTAAAATTCATTATTCTCAGTTCAAAACTCATGGGGTTTTTTTGTTTGTTTGTTTGTTTTTTGGTATAAGATGGCCACTAACTTTTGTTAGCGTACAATATTTTGTGCTGTTTCCATTACATTCCTTATAAAGCAAACTCCTGAATTTGGTCTTTCCCTATACTGAACTGCATTTTTTTTTTTTTTCCTTAGAAAAATAATACAAAAACAACTATTGTTCTTAATATGGCTTTATTTAGTACACGTACCATATTTCCATTTGAATGCATAAATTGTGTTGACACTTGACTCAATCTGCAAGGGCATATATATAAAAGTGAGCTCTCAGCACTTCCTGTATTAAAAATGCCCTCAGCAGCATAGTGTAATTTTGGCTAGACAACCATTTAGCTTTCATTCTCTGGTCAACAAGTTTGCTTTTAAGAACCTTGACAACAGAAGCAGGCAGGCACTCATGTCTGTTTGCAGCACTCCTCTGAAAGATGCATCACAATCTGGCAGGCAAACAGGGCAGAGAGCCTGGCATTACAGCTTCTCTGTTCACAAATAAATGTAGCTCCAGGCTATAGAGAAGCTGAGGCCATTAATATTGGCTTCCCTACTAGGCATTTATGTAAACTGACAATTGACAGTGGACAGACCTTCTGTATAGTAATCACTTATTCCCTCTAAAATTTCATTAAAACTATAAAATGCAATAATAGTGGTGTTCTCATATTTGAAGTGGCACACTTTCTTTTTTGTTTTGTTTATGTGAGCAGATAATCTACTTTGTGCAGAGATGTGTTGCTTGTGGCCTGTGCAAAAATATGGCATCCAGGGACCTTATTTTTTTAAGATGTAGAATGGCTTTGTAAACTATGTATTACCAGTATTATTTTTAATTTGCTCTTGGCAACTGAATTTTCTTTTCTGCAGCAGAGGATAATGAAATGAGATGGATTTGCTGGAGTCTTGTTTATTTAAAAAAATAATCACAATGGCAATTTACATATGTTTTACTGCTGCATCTAGAGTTTGAATATTTACCATAACTGGATTAGATTCTAGTTATGTGCAGAACTGACTGGAAAATAAACTGGCATCCTGATTTGCATTCATTCTGCATCAGTGGTTCCTCTGTCAAATTTGTTCACTGTGGAAGATTTGGCCAAGAGCTGTGTCTGTGTATTACCTGCTACTGCAGGCAAAAGTCTGAAGTATGTGTTGAACCCAATCACTGACATATATAAGAAATGACATACTGCTGTACAGAGAATAGGAATATTGGAATTAAAATTTACTTAGTGTTCGGTCAGAAGGCGGCTGTTTTTCTTATTTTTTTTCTTTCTTTTCTTTCAGCGCCTAGATAGCCAAGAGCAGATCTACATAGCGTGGAGGTAACTGCTGAGTGGAAGGTGATCTCAGTGTATGATTTCCATATGACTTTCTTATGCTATTCCTGCCCTATAAGATAGAGATGGTTTTGGGGCATGAGTTGCTTGTGCTTTGCGACTGCACTGGCACTAGACCAGACAGCAAAAGAGCTTTCTATTAGCAACACGCAGATAGACTGAAACCTTCCCCTTCAATTGAAAGTGTGTGATATGAGAGAAGAAAAAAAATAATAATTGCGTTTATTCATGTTAATACTTTTTCATCCTTGTGGATTTTATTTCTAGTAGTAGTTAATTACACGCAAGAAGACCAAATGAATGTAAAGAAACAATTTTGGGTGCTTGCAAAATGCACATTACTAAAACAACCTCCTAAAACAACACAAAACAAAAAAGTTTCTTTCTATACTTTTTTTCAGTCCTTAATTTCCCAGTTTCAGGGAAATACTCTTTTCTCGTGTCTAAAGCCAGTCTATCAGCATGGGGGCCTTTTGTTCTTTTCTGACTCAGGTACAGCTGCTTCTCTCTCTGGGTTCTCAAAGAGAACCCAGCTTTCTTCAATATGGGGCACAAGTTTTCACCACATACTTTAGAGTGAGATATTCTGAGAACATCTTTTGAAGACCTAAGTATTTGTTTCAGCAGCCCTTTTTCACCCTGGTACTAGGTTAGTAGAGAATTTTAAATCAACCCATATCCTGCAGTTCACTGTCTCCTTCCTTGAGCTGTTGCATATGAAACTCATATGCAGGCTAATGTTATAATCTCACCAATAGATTTGTGTTCGTATTATTACAGATTCGTGTTTATAATTTATAATTCCTCTTCTTTTCAACCAGTAGAGCCTTAGCAGTGGATTTAGTACAAACTCTTGAGGTTATTTGTTAAAAAGCAGAACCACTTAATTGAATGTAATACTGTGCTAAAACACACTTTTTCTAGGACCTATACTAGAGCAGCTCCCTGACTGTGCAATACTGTGCTACATGAGTGTACACTAATGCTCCTGAAGCTTGGCCTGCCTGGACTGTAATTGAGAGGTTTGGGAAGGCTGTCCTTGAATTTTACTTGTGTGCCAGATCATGACTACAGCCCAGTACTATGTGTTGGTGAGACTTCCCTGTGCAACCCATGAGATATTCAGTGAAGCTCTCTCAGGTACAGCCATGATCAAGTCAAGAACCTGTTGGTAAAAATCAGGGACCAAATTAACAAAGGATGTTGGGTGATCAAGGTCTACTACAGGCTGCCTGACCAGGAGAGCCTATGGGTGAAGCCTTCTTGCTTTGGCTACAGGAAGTGTTGTGCTTTCAGACTTTCATCTTGATGGGGAAATTCAACCACTTGTCTGTTTGCTGGGAAATCCAGTAGACTCCTGGAGTGTGTTGAGACCTCCTGATCCAGCTATTGATAAAATGACCAGAGAAGAAGTGTTCCTAGACCTAGTGTTCACCAATTAAGAGGAGCTTGTTAAAGAGGTTAAGGTTGGAGGCAATTTGAGATGTAGTGACTGTGCCCTGGTAGAGTTTGTGATCTTGAGGAATATGGGCCTGGCAAAAAATGAAATCAGGACTTTGAACTTGTAGCAAATTTTTGGCTGTTTAAGGAATTATTGAGATTGCCTTTAGAGATAAAGGTGCAGAGTAGGAAGTTCTTTAAGGATGCTTTTCTGAAAGCACAAGAGCTCTCTGTCCACCAGCATAGGAATCAAGCAGAGGAGGCAGAAAATCAGCATTGCTGAAGAAAGACCTGCTGGTTAAAAACCTGTGGGAAAAGAGGAACATGGAAAGGCACTGGAAACGGGGATATGTGGCCTGGGAAGAATACAGGGCGTGCAGAGATGGGATCAGGAAAGCCAAGGTGTGGAATTTGGTGATGGATGAGAAAAATAACAGGAAGTGATTCTATAGATACATTAGTCAAGAAGAGACAGACCAAGGAGAGTGTATCCCCCCTCTGATAAATGAGAAGTGGAAACTGTCTACAACAGGTATGGAGTAGACTGAGGTCTTCAACAAGTTTTTTGCCTCAATCTTCACTGGCAGTCTTCCTACATCTCTTTAGGCATAGGACAGGGGAGAAAAGCCATTCTTTTTCTGTAAGAGGAGAATAAGTCTGAGATCACCTCAAGAGGCTGAATGTGTACAGGTCTATGGGGCAGATGACATGTGTCTCAGAATCCTGAAGGAATTGGCTGATGTGGTTGCCAAGAAGCTCTGCATCATATTTGAAAAGTCTTGACTGTTGGGAAAAGTTCATGGTGACTGGAAAAAGGGAATCATCACTCCCATTACTAAGAAATGGAGAAAGAAAGACCTGAGGAACTATAGGCTGACGAGCCTTGCCACTGTGCCTTGGAAGATCATGGAATGGATCCTCCTGGAAGCTAAGGCACGTGCAAGACAAGGAGGTGATATGAGATAGCATGACTTTACCAACGGCAGATAGTGCCTCACCGATCTGGTGGCCTTCTACTATTGAATGACAGCATCAGTGGACAAACAAAGAGCAACTGATGTAATTTACCTGGACTTCTGCAAGGCTTTTGACATGGTCTCACACCACTTATCTCGAAATTGGACAGAGGTGGATCTAAAGGTTAGAATATTCGATGGATAAAAAAAATCTGTTGGATGGTCGCAGCTGGAGTGTTGTTGTCAGTGACTCTATGTTCAGGTGGAGGCCAGTTATAAGTGATCTCCCAGAGATCAGTCTTGGGACTGGTGCTCCTCAACAGTGACACAGATGATGGAATTGAGTGCACCTTCAGCAAGCTTGCTGTTGACACCAAGCTGACTGGTGCAGTTGACACAACAGAAGGAGAGGATGCCATCCAGAGGGACCTGGACAAGCTTGAGAAGTGGGCCCACATGAACCTAATGAGTTTCTACAAAGCCAAGTGGAAGGTATTACACTTGGGTTGGGGACATCCCAGATATGAGTACAGACTAGAAGAAGAGATTGTTGAGAGTAACCCTGCTGAGAAGGAGCTGGGGGTCCTAGTGTACAAAAAGCTGGACATGAACCAGCAGTGTGTTCTTGCAGTCTGGAAGGCCAACTGCATCCTGGGTTGCATCAAAAGAGAGATTACAGGAGGGAGAAGGAGGTGATTGCCCTCCTGTTCTCTGCCCTTGCAAGGCCCTGTCTGAAGTACTGCATCCAGGCCTGGGTCACCCAGCACAAGAAGGATGCTGAGCTGTTGGAAGAGGTCTAGAGGAGGGTCACTAAGATCATAGAGGTGGAACACTTCTGCTATGAAGGAGGATTGATGGAGCTGGGCTTGTTTACCATGGAGAAGAAAAGGCTCTAGGGAGACTTCATTGTGGCCTTCCAGTACTTAAGAGGAGCTCATAAACAGGAGGGAGACCAACTTTTTTACACAATCTGATAGTGACAGGATAAAGGTGACTGGTTTTGAACTAAAAGAGGGAAGATATAGATTAGATGTTATGGGGAAATTTTTCACTCAGAGGGTGGTGAGGCCCTGGTACGGGTTGCCCAGAGAAGCTGCGGATGCATCATCCCTGGAGGTGTTCAAGGCCAGGTTAAACAAGACCTTGGGCAGCCTGATTTGATGCCTGATTTTAGTAGCTGGCAGCCTTACCAACCGCAAGGGAACTGAAACTAAAAAACCATTAAGGTCTCTTCCAACCCAGTCCATTCTACAATTCTGTTATTTTATTTTTCTATTGCCTTCTCAGAAGACACAGCACCAAGAGGAGAAACCCCAAATTGTCACTGGTCTCTGCAAATGGATTTCAACAATAAGCAGATACAATAAGCAGGTCCTCCTTCTCTATTTTTCCTTTTACAAAATGTAAGTATTGAGTAAATATACAAGTGACTTATTCTGAGCTGAGGTAGCAGATATAGAGGTTTTGCTTACATGTACATTAAGGAGAAGAAGGGTGTAGTCCTAAAAATGGGAATCACAGAGAAGTGAGCTAAACATTTAGACAGGATTTGAGTGTCCCTTTTGGTTTTAGAGAAAAGCAAAGCACTTCACTCACGTCAAAATATGAACGAAGTTGTCAGCTTAATCTTCATCCCAGCTACTCGCTGTAAAGCCTCCAAAGGGCACCCCTGTCAACCTGGCATGGTTTTCTGTGTCTGCCTCTGCCAAGAGGCGGTTTTCAAGTGCCTTTTGGATGGCTGGAGCCTGTGCAAACAAGCAATTGAAGCACAATAGTTAAAGAGATGCAAGGGGAGTGTAGTTCTGTGAACTTACTAGGAAAGTCTTTGACTATTTATTTCTGTTATAGCTCATTGGACTTACTTTGGAAGTTCAATGTCAAAGTAAGAAGAAAAGTGTGAGAAGTTCACAGTGTTTGGGCTGGAAATGTTTCATATAAGTGAGGTATCACACTCCTGTGGCTGACTCATTGCTTGCCTCAGGTTGTCAATCAGAGGTTCCGGCTGTGATTCAGCAGTTCCCATACAGCCAGTAAACTGGTCTTTGATGCTGTCACATTCCTCATGGAAAGTTATGGTTCTGGTGTGCCCAGTCATAAGTTCGGTGTAAGTCTAGATGTATCATTTGCCCTGCTGGACGTGACTTATCAGCATACAGAATGAAATAAGGAAATGGAAGGATTAAGTGTTTTCATTGTAGTATTTGACCAACTTATCTGTGGTTGATGTGGTGGCTACCATTCTGTATTAATTATGTTTACATTGAACAGCTTGGAATCATTTATCCACAAGGATAGTTGCTTCCTAACCCCAGCCGATTAGTGGTTGTCTTATCAGCTAAAGAAAAAAATTACCTTTTGCTAGCTGTAGACCATAGGGAATCTCAGTGATGGCAGTGAGCAAGGTGCACTGTCCCAAGTCCAATTACTGCTAACAAGTAGATTATGCTTTACACATTAACCATGCAATAACCAGACATGGTTGCTATTACTCTTATAAAGTCTGTTTCTGGATTTGACTGCTGGTAAGAGATTTTTTTAGATCAGTTGTTATTAGCTGCATGATCTGTTTTATGCCAGGTACCAGTGGCTTCTATTTCATGACTTAGTAAGTTGTGCTCAGTCTCTTCTGTATTCCTTATGAAAGTATGCATTTTTTATTTCTAGTTTTTGATGTGCTGAAGTTTCATTTTTGTATCTGTTATGTGTATTGAATTCAGGTTCTTGAACTCATATTAGAGGATTTGTTAAATCCTGATATTTCCATGAATTCAAAGGGGAAACAAATTCTGTGCAACACAGATGTAATCAAATGAATGAAACCTCGGGTTTGTGTGCAAGTGTGTACATATGATATTTCTTGTATTTAACTAAGATGTTTGATAGCAGTCCAATCTTCCTGAGCTCTCTGCTTGTACTTGGCTCAAGGAATAGCAATCTGAACACTTGACCTACCACTCTACATTTTGAGATGACAGTTTTCCATTAAAAAGAGTAACTTAACCACTGTAACTAGAAAATAACCTATGCTGGTTTTATTATACAAAATCACCACCATTTTATGACTTTACAGCTATATTGCTGTTGTCACTAGATTATATGGGGCTGCACAAAAAATGGGGCAGTGTTCTGACAGCATATATGAACAGTGATTCATAAAAAATTAGTTGCCAGTACAAAACAAACCCAAACGTGCAAATTAGATTATTTGTGAAATGTAATTACCCATAGAATGGGGAAATGTTTCGATGTGTGCTCAGCAGACAGGTGAGGGATACAACGACCAGTTGGGAGGTTTTTTTTCTTCTTTATGATGTTTTCTTCCTTCTGTTGCTGTTTTTGGTTCTGGTGATTTTTTTGTATTTTTGTTTTTAGCCATGTTTCTATATTAGTTACTAAATGCAGAGCAGATGGACCACAGGTAAAGCGTTGGTTCTTTTAATGACAGTCCCCTGGCTTTATAAAGAGGGAATCATTTCTAGATTAGGAAATAGCAGCACTGGGATGAAAAGGGAAACTTTTTCACAGAGCCCTAATCCTGCATCCTTTTAATAGTATACTATAGGACACACTCAGAAACAGGGCACAAAAGTAGTGGGAATTAAGGGCTGCGAATTTAGTTTGGCCTAAGCGTTACTACTCTGCAGTGTTGATTTGCTTTTCTTCAGCCCTGCCAAACTGTTTGGCATTAGAAATGAATTATCACTATAGTTATACTTATTTCTTTATTTTAAATTTATAATAGAAAAAAAAAAGAAAAAGATGTAGCATCTTAAAGAGAGAATGCTCAGATTTCCCTTCCCAGTTGGGTCAAGTGTTTCTGAAATAGATCTGAACTTTACTTCTGAACTAAACTTTTTTACATTTCAATTGTGAAGCAGCTGCAAATGAACTGTTGTTTGAATACAGCTAGAGGGCAGTTACATATTTTTTTTTTTATCATTATGCTCAGTAATCACTTGCGTAGGAGCTGTTAAACAACTCCATGCAGATAGCAAAAATATGTAGTATCTGTGTGGTCTTATTTAAATCGCACGCAAACAACTTATAATGGCATTATTATGAATGTCTGGAAGACACAGGAGCCAAGCAAATCAGTACAATCTAAAAAAAAAAAAAAGAACACATAAAATCTGGTAGATAGCATGGTAATTACGTTTAGATATTATCTAGTGGTCAGGAGTGATCTCCTGAGTTCCTAAATGACAATGACAGATTAGCACTAATAAGATAAGCATGATAGTGATGGAAAATGAATCGATGGGGGCAAATCTGTGACACACCAAAAGGATACCAGAAAGGGCTGGTAATATCTGGTAATTCTTGTATCTTTTCAATATTATGTTTAATCCTGTGCTTTCAAGTTTCCAGCTGCTTTCAAAAGAGAACATTCCTGTGACTTGAGATAAAAAAAAAAGTTATAAACTTTCTCAGCCTTTTTTATTATCCGTAACTTGCTATTAAATACCTGACATACGCAGATAAATTGTATGCAGATTAGTCTGGTATTAATTTTCATATCGATAGATTTTTTGCTGCTACTGTGTTTATGCTGTGCATGACCAAAATTTTACTTTATTCACAGTAATCCTAATAATGGCCTCCATTTATCAGAATATTGCAAAGGAATAAAGTCAAAACATATCTAATTTCACTAGACTGTTACTTTACTCGAAGATAAGTACTATAACATAATCTTGCTGAGTTGGTGCCATTACAAAGATGCAACTGATTTATAAATTTACCAGAAATAAGCTGTTGCAAAGGTACCAGTCTAAAGTCTATTCAAATTTTATGTAGAAGCAACACAATAGGGTAATTTTTTAATTATGTTTCAATTGCGTGTACAGAATCAATCCTTTAAGTTTGAAATGATTACTGATTTTCATTCATCCTGTAGTGGCACATTTTAATTCCCTAAGAAGGTTAATAACTTTATGTGTTCACTGTTTAAGTAATTCCTTAAATCCCAAATGCTTACATGAGCAACTTTGCTGGCTTGTATTTACTTCCATTGAAATATATTATAGGAAATACCTGTAATAAAAGCGTACTTCATTAAATTTCATTGTAAAAAGCTGTATAATCCTGGAGAAAAAATAAAATAAAAAGAATGCTAATCTCTAATACTGTTTTTAAAAGGGAACCTTAATTCATGAAAAACTGCAGTCATTATCTCTCAATTTCATTAAAAACATGAATAGGTGCTCGTGTTCTAAAGCTGCTGTTGAAGTCAATATAAAAGATTTCCTCAAGGATCAGTGTGATATCAGGATTAAAATAGAGTTAATTAAAAAAATATTCACTCATTGGTATTTCTACCTCATGTTGATATTTGCTCATTGGTATTTCTACCTCATGTTGAGACAGTGTAGAAGGTTGGGTGTTTGTTATGAAGTTTAGCATTAAAATTTTTTCAAACCACAGTGTCATCCAGGCCTACAGCTGTGATAAGGTGCACCATCAAATGGTTATTATTTTGTGGTGGTTCTTAGGACAGTCAAGCACCTACAATGCCACTTACAGTCTGGATAAAAGACAAATTCCTTGAACTTCTGAGAATTGGATTTTTGTAAATTATTATGATTAGTAGTAGTAGTCAGAAGTGAAACTGCATGAAGATAGAACTAAGATTCCTATATGACTCCATGGAGCTGTGGGAGTTGAGTGAAGCTCAAGAGATGCTGTATCATTTAAAGCAGCCCTATGAGTAATAAAGCTGATAACTGTTCAGTGTTGGTGAATAGGTTCTTCTCATTAATTACAGTAGTAAAATTCTTCCACTGATGATGTTGTGTGACCTCCCTCAGTAAAAATATGTTGATATTCTGAAAAGCTCTATGTTAGAGGTGTTCATACACTTATTTACGACTCATTTCATTTATTTACTTACAGCTTATTCCCCTGACATGCTTTAAAGAGACATAGAAAATCATGAAGTAGTTCAAAGGAGATTTTTCAGAGATCCCTGTGAGAAAACTGAAGCAAAGAAGGAATTAAATTTTTCTAAAGCAACATTTTCCTTAGAATTTTAGCTTGTTGCCTACACATCATCAATACTTCATCTAAATATCTGTTGACTTCTTATTTGAGGCCTTGCTCCACTAAATTAATGAGCTCAGTAGGTCAAATGGTGCGTGTTCAGGAGATTTAGAGTTATTTTTATAGCTATTAGAAAAAGAAAAAAAGCAAAAGCAGCTTTAGGCTTTTTTTAACTGCTGAGCTTATGGAAGTTGCTAAGGCAGAAAAACACTGCTCTTTTCTGCATTTAACTGCAAGTAAAGGAAACTTTTCCATTAGACAGACACAAAGCTAGCTTGTAATGGAGCTACCCCCAAAAAAAAAAAAAATTATATTAAAAAAAAAAAACAAAACAGAGGGCAATACAGCAAATGATATATGCACTGTAGTCTGTTTAATATTCAACATGAGAAGTTCTTGCTATTCTACAGAACGGAATAAACATGGGAGTTTCCAAAATGGACTGTGCCTGTTTTAACAATGAGGAAATGAAAGAAGATTTGAGTGTTGAAATTTTTTTCCCAACTTGTTTGTTGTTTCTGCTGTTTTCAGTTAAAAAGGAGTTGGAAATGTGAACATTTCTGCCAGGTATTTGGTGAAAGTGATCAGAAAACTGCTAGAAATTGTAGAAGTTAAATGAGTGGAGATTTGGATGTTTCTATCCAAATTCTACCTATTTTGCCCAATTTAGCTATATTCCTATTCCTTATCACATCTGAAAGACTGACTTTTTGTTGTTGTTTTTGGCAGAGAACTTCAGAAAATCTCCTTGAAAAAGGAACGGAAACATGAGGCAGAAACCCATGGTGTCCTGAGAAGGTTACCTGCTGAGGGGAAAAAAAAAAAAAAAAAGAAGTGGTGGGAGACTTAAAACAAAAAAATATAAGGAAAAATGTGTTTTCTCCAAGTCAGAAAAGTCACAGCCCAGGTAACTGCCTCAGAGAACTGCAGGCACAGTTTCTTGCTTCATCCTCATTTCTGTCAAACCTGAAGACTTTTCAATTTCTAAAGTCTGCGATCTAGCGAGTGTATGGCATGCTGCATGCTTTCTCATGGAGGACAGGAAAAACAAGAGAGAAGTTAAATAAATGTTTGATTCCTACTTTGTCTACTGAGATAATATGGAAAGGAAGGGACAAATTGAAAGTTTTTAGGGGAAGAACTGAGACGTCTATTACTGCATCTCTCTGCTTTGTGAAAACAACAGTGTGTACTTAGAAGATAATCAGGCATATATAAAATACTTGCTGGGATTAGAGAGCTAACACTTGTTAGGCAGATATCTTGCATAAACTTAACAAGGCTAGGTCAGCTTTATTAAAAGAAAAGAAACAGTCAGCATTGTAGTTATCTTTGTAAGAAAACTATTGGAAAGCTCTGACAAAGAATGTGTGTGAGGGAGGAAAAATAATACTGATTATACTGTAAAAGTAAATTCTACTCAACTCATGCAGTAGGGTTTTGACCATATATTCTAGTGGCCTGTGTCAAGGAGATCCTGATCCTGCGAGTGGCTGTCATTTTGTTAAATAATGTAGGTGGCTCTGAAACTAATGCCTCCTATTTCTTTCCATGTAAACTACAACAGATACAAAAAGCACAATAGTACTATTTGATAGAGCAAATTCTTAGCTACAAAACACTATTTCTCAACTAAACACAATCGTTAACTATGCATTTTCAGTGATGAACAAGAACCTGCATGCTGGACTTCTCAAAAAAAAAAACCTATTTATCTGTCCATTCCAGCTTCTCTGTCATATTGCATTACTGTTGCCACTGCTGAAACACACCACCCACTGGCTCTCTGTGCTTACATCCACTGCGTGGTCTCTACCAACATTCAGAAAACATTGATGAATGTCTATGGTTGTCATTGTTTCCACTTGGAGGAATTTAATGACACACCTTTGCTTCACCCTCACTGCTATGTCAGATACCATTTCATCAGATTTCCCCTCTGCTGCCATCTGTCACATGACAACAAAATGTAATAGATTATCACTTGGAAGATTCAGCCTTTACTGCTGTATCACCAATATCCGCCTCTGACATCATGGGCCAATATAATAAATTATGAGGACATTACTTTTGGTGCAGCCTTTGCATTTTCTGGAGGTCTTGAAATAGTTTTTCATAGTGTGGGTGCTTACAGTTTGGTGATATTTCTCCTTTCAATCTAGAAATGACACTGAAAATACTTGACTATTTGGCTAGTTAGGTCTAAATGAAAGGTTCTGGGTGCAGTCTCTACTTTGCAGTCTCTGGTCCTAATGTTGCTCTCTTCCTAATGTTCTGCAGTGTCTTACATCCCTCATCTCCCTGCTTCTAACCAATTTTTTCAGGAAGCAGCTATGGAAAGCCATTTGAACAAACATGCTAACATTCTGGGGCAAATTCACATTGCCAAAATGTTAGTTTAAGTCCACTGAAATGCAGTTTGTATTTTTCTCTGTAATACTTTTTGCTATTTTAACTTCAGACTTCTTCAGGAGTGTTTTTATTTAACTGAAAGAACTAATAGAAAATAGGAAGGAACAGTTTATGCTTAGCCTTTATTTCTGCAATTATTTATTTGTTTTTGGTTAGCCAAGGTTATTTATTTACAAAAGCCAACTTACAGCATCAGTAGCCCTCAGAACGGAGGGTTTCCTCATGCTAGCATGGCCAAGGCCTGCAGTTCCCCACAAGATGGCGGAGCACAGAGTCCTGCTGAGGTGCAAAGGCCCAACTGTTTTCTTTCAGACAAATGGAGGAGTTTCAGATAGCTTTACTCCCCATCTTGGATGAAAATAAGTGGTGAAATATTGAATTTTCCATGTTGTAAAAGTTCCTTTTTTATGTTTTGTTCTCAGTCTCTTCTGTTACTGAATCTGTTGGATGCAATGCAGATGCCACATAACCAGATGAATTTTGGTGAGTCATAATTCATATTTTTAGTTGTTTATTAATAATGGTTATAAAGGAGATTGTTGAACAGCTACATAAATGTGCCATATTCCTGCAGCTGCATTTTCTCTTATATTAAATATTGTATTCAAAGGCGTGAAGGAGCTGTTTTTCCCCTTGTGTTTAATTGCCAGTACCATTGACAGAGAACATCAGTAAAACTTGTGGTGACATTTTCAAGTTTCTTTTGAAAACAGTTATTTTAAGAACTGTTTGATTCAACAGTATTGGCACTTGTTTATTTTATTGCAACATTTCGAGCATGTATGCTTTTGGTTACACAAATACTTATGGAGGGTTTTTATCTGCATAAATACGCAGAGGCAGTAAAAAATATTCATCAGTCCTCCTTTGTTGGACATTTGCTGCTACTGCCATTTAAACTTTTTTTTTCTGATCTGGGGATTAGGAAGAACAGTGTCTGACAGAGAGAAAAAACCATTCACAAACTTTCAGCAGGGAAAAAATAGTTTATATTTAATTTCAGGTATTGGTGTACAGCTCCTTATGTTTCTGTAAGATTCACTGGCTTTCTACCTTAAATCGCATCAGTTACTCTTCTGTATTTTATCTGTATTGTATGCTGCAGTTTAAGAGTAATTCATCTCTCTGGAGATAAGATGAATTCTAAATGTATTCTAGATGTATTCTAAATTAGTTGCTATAAATGAGAAAAAGAAACATAATTTTTCCCATTAATGTAAAGCACTGTATTTTGCTAGCTATCAGTTCATAGTTATGTAAAGGTGTCTTGGCTCTTCAGTGTGGAATGGTTAGTTCAGGAGCTGGAATTATTTCACAAATCATAAATAATTAGCCTTTATTCAACAATTCACTAAATAACTTAATAAAATACATTTTGAATATAAATCAACAGTTGAATTCATGAAATTCATGTGCTTCTCAGCAACTACTTTTTAAAACTAAATTAATTTTAATGTTTATTAAAAAGTGTTATTTACTTTTGTAAATTGCGGTAAGCAATGACAGCAGAAGTCACCAAGCACAAACAAAAAGCTGTGCAATAAAACTCAGGCAGGTGGTTTCACCTCCACAGCTGTAGGACTCTCAGTTGGGCTGCCTCTATGTGAGCATCACTCTCACAAGGTAACCATCCCCTATAGAGAAACTTGTGTAATAACTATATTCACTCCGATAGGAGAAAATGTGAAGTAAGAAGAAGTGCTCTCTCATATTTTCCTATACTGATGTTACTCCATAATATATATATATATTATATATATAATATATATATATATTATG